ATGAAGGGAAAAAAAAGGCAAATAATCTGATTATTCAATATTAACTTTGACTGTAACACCTAAAACACAAAGGTATGTTAATTGATGGAACTGATGGACTTAACAGCAAAAAATAAAAATCTTCACATATATTCTCCAATAGAATTTAAGTTGTAATGAAGGTGATATTTCAAACCTTTGAGCACTCTCACAATTTAAAAAATGCACAGTAAAATAAATACTACTTTCTGCCAATTAAACTAGCAGGATAAAACAAATATTTAGCAGAATGTGGGAAAAGATATTCTCATAAACTAGCAATAAGAATATTAAGTGGTACAACCTCATTGCAGTTTTATTATATCAGAAGTTAAAGGGCACATATCCTTGACCCAGCAATCTACTGCTACAAATTATCCTGACACTCTCACACACTCCCATTGATATAATCAAAAACATTTATTGCAGCAATACTTATATACAGGCAAAATATCCTGAGATTTACCTAAATATTAATAAGGTAACAGTTATAATAAATGTGGTACATATATAGAAAAATGTCCAAAATATATTGATAAGCAGAAAGAGAAAGATGCAGAATACATACCAGCTATTTTTGGTAACTTATGGGGAGTACAGTGCTGGGTGGGAGGTAAGAGTTTTACTTTTTACTTTAAACACTGCTGTACTATTTGCTCATAAAGTCACATGTGACTTTTATAAAAAATTTACATTTTGAAAATACTAAATGTGGCTGGGTGCAGTGGCTAACGCCTATCATCCCAGCACTTTGGGAGGCTGAGGCCAGTGGATCGCCTGAGGTCAGGAGTTAGAGACCAGCGTGGTCAACACAGTGAAACCCCATCTCTACTAAAAATACTGAAATTAGCCAGGTGTGGTGGCATGCACCTGTAGTCCCAGCTACTCAGGAGGCTGAGGCAGGAGAATCGCATGAATTCAGGAGACAAGGCTGCAGGGAGCCGAAATTGCGCCATTGTACTCCAGCCTGGGCGACAAGAGCAAAACTTTGTCTTTAAAAAAAAAAAAAAAAAAGTGAAATACTAAATACTAACTGTTACTTGGCAATACAGCTGGAAAGGGTCAATGTATGTTGTATAATCTCATCTAGAATGAAGAACAAAGAACTGTATTAATTTAAAAGTTTTCTTTTTCATGCTACAACAAGGGGCAGCACATCTACAGTGCTACTAAAGAAAATGAAGTACAGAGAAGTTAGAAACTAGATAAATTAATTTAAGACAAATATCCATAAAGAATTTCAAATTCTTGGATTCGGGGATTCTGCAGTCTTAGCAGCTGCTGCCTATGTTAAATACTGAAGCACAAAATGAAGAGGAAGACTCTGCAACTGAGGTACAGCTAGCAGCCTCTGAGAAGAAAAATTAGTCTAAAATATTTGTGGAGACATGTAAGTTAGGCAATCTCAAGGTTAAATTTCTCTGGCTGCTCAACCCTAACCAACAATAGGACTAAACACAGTTCACATCCAGGATTAAAAAGAAAAAAAAAAAAAAAAAAAAAAAAGAACCAAGGTCTATATACGGTAAGAATCTATGTCTAAGAAAATCCTTGTGGGAAGACAGAAGGAACAGCATGAGAAAAGGTCAATGTCCAACTATGCGTTCAAGCATTATGGCAGAAGCTACAGAAAGGAAAAGCAACAAATTGATCCCAGTGGGGAAGAACCTTTTCTTGCTTTGGACTTGCTAGAGGGCAATCAAGCTTCAGGCATAAAAATCTACAGATGATTACTATAGTCAACCAACTAGCCAAATTTCAAACACAGGAAAAAAAACAAAAAAAAAACAAAAAAAAAAACCCACTAGTCAAAATGCTTTAAAATTTAAGAAGTGTGTTATTTCTTAAGAAAGTATATTGTTTAGGCTAGGTGCAGTGGCTCACACCTGTAATCCCAGAACATTGGGAGGCCAAGGAGGGTGGATCACCGGAGGTCAGGAGTTTGAGACTAGCCTGACGAACATGGTGAAACCCCATCTCTACTTAAAAACACAAATTTAGCTGGGTGTGGTATCACATGCCTGTAATCCCAGCTACTTGGGAAGCTGAGGCAGAAGAATTGCTTGAACCCAGGAGGCAGAGGTTGCAGTGAGCTGAGATTGCACCACTCCATTCCCACCTGGGCAACAACAGCGAAACTCCGTCTCAAAAACAAAACAAAAAAAGCATATTGTTCATATATGTTATATTACATATCTACAATAAAAAAATTTTAAATACCTTTCAACAAATAGCAGGCTTCCTCAGTTGTGGGAATCGAAAATGTTACCACAGTTCCAGGCTATGATTCTACAATTTCTTCCTCCATCCTAACAGTTTTTTACCTTCAGAGAAATGAGGAAAAGTTTTCTTCACTTCTTACATGTGTGACTAGTGTTCCCAATCTTCTACTTGTATTAGTCTAACCTTTCAAAATCTTTAAAGAAATAACTAGTACAAACCCACAAAGAAAACACTCTTCATAGCAAACACTTCAAATTTCTGCAACATGGATTAATACCTCCACTTGGAAATACTAATCAAAATCAACAATGACAGTCTTACTTTAGGACTGAACTAAGAATATTTTACTAGCCATTGAAAGAAGACTTGGGAAATAATTTATTTCTCTTTCTAAAATGTCTATAATGCTGTCTCTGGATTGTCCTCAGTGGCTCCTTCCTATGGCCCAACAGCAACTGAAGTGCCAATGCCCCCATCCCATTCCGGCTAGCATTCTGAATCTCTATTTGCCTGGGAGAAAAGAACACTTTTCATTGATCTATGTTTAACAAAACATTTACCGAATGCACACAGTATTCCCAGCACTGTGCTACTAAGATAAATGAGACATGGATGGTATCTACCTTCAAACTCATAGTCTAATAAAGAAGACAAACTATGCCCAGGCCTGGCTTAAAGGATCAGACAGATGCTTCAGATAGGCTATTTCAGAAGATCAGCTGACAACTAGCAGAGAGGGCTCTGGCAATTGGGGAGGCACGGGGTTGAGGGAAAGTGACAACAAGCACCTAGGACTAGAACTAGGAATATGAAACATCATACTTAGTTTATTCATATAATCCTCAGCATTCTGGCATAGCTACAGTGAGATAACTGCATGCCGTGTTATAGGGTTTACTACATTTTATTTCGAAAGTGATGGGGGACAATTAAAGAGATAGGTAGAAGAAGGAAAAGAGTATAGAAAAGTTAGCAAGTAGGAACAGAAATATGGAGAATCCAATAAACCAAATCACAGAGAAAACGTAAATATTTTGTAGTGTGTTCATACAATGGAATATTACTAAAAATAAAACAGCAATAAAAAATAATGAACTGCTGATATAGTCACAACATAGATGAAGCTCAAGAACATTATGTTGAATGAAAAAGCCAGATACAAGAGTACATACTATATATAAAATCCAAGAACAGGCAAAACTAAATTATGCTGACAGAATTCAGAAAGATCATTACTTCAGGGGAAAAAAGCTATTGGATTGGAAGCGGGGAAAGCACAAGGAACTTTCTAAAGTAATGAAATGTTCTATATCTTGATCTAGATGGCGGTTACATGTATGAATGTGTATGCGAAAAGTCATTCAGCTCTATACCTCAAATTTTATGTTACTATATATATGTAAACTATACCATAATAAAAAAGAAAAAAATACATATATAAGCATGGTGGAAAATAAGGTCAGAATAAGTTAAACCAGTGTCATCCCACAAGCAATATCAAACACAGAAAATCAGAACAAAAGTTCTAACAGACACTGTATATTCAACTAGAAAACAAATCCCTAATAAGACCTTCAAGTACAAAAGTCTGGCTTCTTCTCCACTGTAAGAGGATATATAGGCAAGTGTTATTTCTAATAAATGCTACAAAAGTAAATTATTCTTCCTAAAGAAAAATAGTCCACTATAAAGCCAAAAATAAAATTTTTCTACACAATAGGAGGTACTATAATGATCAATAAGGTATGACAAGCACTTAATAGAATTTAGAGCACAATAAGTACTCTTCACACTACCACTACTATTATTATTATATAATAGCAATAAAAGGAAAATTTTGCTTCAAAACATGCCCAAACCACTGACTGAGATTTCCTTCAGTGCATATTACTGAACTACAGCACTTTTCATCCTAGACTTCTTTTTTTTTTTTAACAAACACTGAGATCAGCAAATTTTTGACAGCTGAAACATCTGGTTAGAGGGAAAACCAAGTTAACTCCAATTTTTTCAGTGTTCGTTTTCCCCTGTTTCCGTTTTGAAGCCATATTCACTTACCAATAAACAGTAAATGTATCTTTTTAAAACATGTCAACAGCTTATATTATTTAAAAGCATTCTTTCACATACCAGACCAAAAGTACATGATGCCAATTCAACTTTTTGAAAGTGAACAGCCTTAGAAAGCTAATCAGAATGCTGTATTAGAGAGGTCATTCAGTAGAGACACCCATTAGGAAAACATTAAAACAATAATTTACAATTTTGAATACTATATTAACAGAAAGAAATCACAATTTGGCAAATGTCCCATTTGGGAAAGTGTTTCCTTAACAGTAATAATGAAGCAAAATTCACAAAAGCAATGACTATTCATATACTTTATCAACAAAGGAGAAAACAATGAAGTGACACAATAAATGTCTTACCGAAGTGGTGAGAGTTCAATTTGAAGAGTGGCTGAACCAAACACTAACTTGATTTTCTAACATGTTAGAATATTCACTGGAAACCTGAATGCTTTAGTTAACCTCAACACAAAAGAAGGAAACTAAAAATTTAGTTCCACAATTTGATAGCTGTAATTTTACTCCCATCAAATCAAGTGGACCAAGTGTGTCAAAAAGACAGTTATTTGCATTTCAAAATTTTATTTAAAAACTCTTTGGTTCTGAACTCAACACCACATTTTTAAGACATTTTTTTTGGTATTATTCCTATCTCGATATGTACATTTAACAAAGCAGTCTTCTACTTACCTAGATTTTGTCTTATTAACATCTTGCTGCAAGAACAATCTCATCCAAAATTAAATCAAACCTGAAAGAATACATACAAAGACCAAGGTTTAATTTTTTGTGTCAAGCATGAATAACTACAGCTACAATACACCACGATTTTAAATGAAAAACCATAAATCAAATTATATTTCTTGATATAACATAAAAAAAAGCATTCAACTAGAATACGATCATTTTAATCTTTAGGAAACTATTGCTAAGTGCCCCCCCAATCCCACTGTTTTTTTTGAGAAATAATAATCTATTCAAACGAGAAATCGAAACTTTCTAATTCTTTTTTTTTTTAATCTACAATAAATTGTTTTCATTAATTTTAATAGTATGGCAATGGCAATAATGAAAATAATTAACAAAACACACATCTTTCTAGATCAGTATTTATTTAATATTATGTACATATCAAGACGTACACCAAACAGCTGAAGACAAAAATGTTATAGTATTGGAACACTATAGTAATTCTCATAATAGCCAACACTGATTAAGTACTTACTAAATGCCAAGCACCCTTATTCTAGAGAATAGAATGTGTCAATACTTTCCATCTTCAACTTAATCCTTAATTTAGTATAAAGTGACTTCTATTCCAACAATCCACTGAACATGCATTTGCCAAAAACACACCTATCATTACTAATTTTACCATATTTCAGAAGCTCTAAAAACTCAGTGTGTCCCAAACTCTATACATCCCCTCCTCCCCATACCTGAAACTAGCTTGTGACTCTTCTAAATTCTCTATTATTTAAAAAACAGCACCACCATACCTACCTCTGTTATCAAGCTAGATTACTTTAATTGTTTTATTTCCATACTCACTATCATCTCTGATTTGTCCTTCCCAAAACCACAGACCTAGAATTTTCTGCATAGTATACAGAAAAGATGAGATACTTTCTCTGCCACCCAATGCCATCATCTCCCACCAACCCAGAACTGAACATGGGGGCCTGTTAAAAACTAAACTATAAAATCAAAGTAAGAACATTAAAAGTCTACTATAAACGACTGAGTGGGATAAGCTGAACAATCGCCCCACAAAAGATATCCACACCCTGATCCCTGAAACCTGAGAATGTTACCTCACATGGCAAAAAAAAAAAAAAAAAAAAAAAGTCTTTTCAGATATGATTACATTAAGGATCTCGAGAGGGGAGATTATTCTGAATTATCTGGGTGGGCCATAATGCAATCACATGTATCCTTATAAGAACGAGACACACTCTGAAGGCAATGAGAAGACACAGCAGAGAGGCCAGGCACAGTGGCTCACACCTGTAATCCCAGCACTTTGGGAGGCCAAGGTGGGCAGATGACCTGAGGTCAGGAGTTCGAGACCAGCCTGGCCAACATGGTGAAACCCCATCTCTACTAAAAATACAAAAATCAGTTGGGCATGGTGGCATACACCTGTAGTCCCAGCTACTCAGAAGGTTGAGGCAGGAGAATCTTGCTTGAATGAAGGAGGCAGAGGTTGCAATGAGCCCAGATCATGTCACTGCAATTCAGCCTGGGCAACACAGCAAGACTCTGTCTCCAAAAAAGAAGACGATGACATGGCAGAGAGAACTGAAAATGCTGCCTTTGAAGACTGGAGGGACATGGGCCACAGTCAGGAATGCCAGCACCCACTAGTATCAGGGAGAAGCAAGTAATGGATTCTCTTCTACAGCCTCCCTCTAGAAGGAACAAAGCTCTGCCATCACCTTGATTTTGGCCCAATAATACTGATTTAGAACTTCTGGCCTCCAGAACTGTGAGAGAATTAATTTCTATTGTTTTAAACCAACCAGTTTGTGCTAATTTGTTAGAGCAACCACAGGAAATTAATACATTGAAGATAGCGATAAACTGGAAGCACCTCTATATAAAAGATGTTATGAACTGAACTGTGTCTCCCCCCAAATTTCTTATATTGAACCCTCATCCCAAATATGACATTAGAGCAAGGGCCTTTCAGGAATAAAGTTAAATAAGGTAACTTATGAGGATTTTACCCAATATGACTGGTGTCATTCTTTTTTTTTTTTTTTAAGATGAAGGCTCACTGCAAACTCTGCCTCCTGGGTTCAAGCGATTCTCACGCCTCAGCCTCCCAAGTAGCTGGGACTACAGGCACACGCCACTATGCCCGGCTAATTTTTGTAATTTTTTTTTTTTTTTTTTTTTTTTTTTTTTAGTAGAGACAGGGTTTCACCATATTGGCCAGGCTGGTCTCGAACTCCTGACCTCAAGTGATTCACCCGCTTTGGCCTCCCAAAGTTCTGGGATTACAAGCGTGTGTCACTGCACCTGGCCCAACTGGTATCATTCTAAGAGACACAGGTATGTACACACAGAGGGCAGGCCATCTGCAAGACAGAGATGCCTCAGGAGAAACAAAACCTGCCAACACCCTAATCTTGAATTTTCAGTCTCTAAAACTGTGAGAAAATAAATTTCTGTTGTGTAAGCCACCCAGTCTGTAGTATTTTATGACAGTCCTAGCAGACCAATGCATATTTTAAAAACTATATATGGTTGCACAAACAATATAAACATACTTAAATGCCACTGAACTGTACACTTGAAAATGGTAAATGTTGTTATGCATATTTTACCACAGTAAAAAATAAAGGCATATACAAACATCACACACAAACAAACTTCGACTTAAGTTGTTTAATTTTACCTTGCTTTGCTCGTACTCTCCAAAATCTGAAAAAAAAAAACCTTTTAACTGCATTTGTTCCCCACAAACCTAAACCAGCATATTTGAGACACTTTGTTTTTATTTTATTAATTTTTAATTGACAAATAATAGTTGTATATATTATCTATTTATGGAGTAAAGTGACATATGCTTACATAGTAGAATGATTAATTCACGCTAATTAACAAATCCATCACTTCACATACTTATTTTTTTGTGGTAAAACACTTAAAATCTACTCTTTCATCAATTTTAAAATATACATGCATTATTACTATATTTCATAATTCTGTGCAACAGATCACTAAAGCTTATTCCTCCTGACTAAAACTTTGTACCATTTGATAAACATCTCCTCTTGCCCCATGCACTCCCAATCCAGCCTCAGGTAAACACCATTTCACTCTCTACTTCTAAGAGTTCAACTTTTTTAGATTCTACACGCAATTTAGATTACGTGGTGTTTGTCTTTCTGTGCCTGGTTTATTTCACTTAGCATAATGTCCTCCAGGTTCATCCATGTTCTTGCAAATAACAGAATTTTTTCTATCTTAAGACTGAAAAGTATTCCATTGTGCATATATACCACATTTATCCTTTCATGCAATGATGGACACCAAGGGTGCTTCCATATTTTAGCTATTGTGAATAATGCTGTAGTGAATATGGACATGCAGATACCACTTCAGCATACTGAGTTCAATTCCTTTAGATATATAACCAGAAGCGGGACTGCTATATCATATGGTAATTCTATTTTTAGTTTTCTAGAAACTGCCATATTGTTTTCCATAATGGCTGTTTATTGTGCATTCCTAGCAAGGTACACAAGGGCTCCCTTTCTCCACATCCTTGCCAACATGTGTTATCTTTTTGATAATAGCGAAGACACATATTTTTTTAAAAAAAGATTTTACAAAGAAGTATGATAGAACGTATTTTAAAATCTATACCTAAGAAATACAATTGGAATATTACTTATATAAGTGGGGGGGGGGAGTACAAAAAAAGAGGATAAAACTTAAAAGCAGTTGGCACAGATGGTTTTGCTTCAAGCAGTATTCTAAGAGAACACCTGAATACTAAAATGTCAAGTATAACACATCCTCCCAAAAACCCATAACCGCAGTCTGATCATGAGAAAAATATCAGACAAATTCCAATAGAAGATCATACAGTATATCTGACCAATATTCTTCAAAACTGCTAAGAAAAAAAAAAAACCTTATAAGGTCATCAAAAACAAAGTCTTCAGAAGCTTAGGAAGAAACGACAACTAAATGTAATATATCTTGGAACAGAAAAAGAACACTGGGTAAAAACTAAGAAAATCTGAATAAACTATGGTCTTTAGTTAATAATAATGTGTCAATATTGGTTCATTAACTGTAACAAGTGTACTGTACTAACGTAAGATGTTAATAACAGGGAAAAATGACAGTTGGAGGGGTGGTTAGAACATGGGAACACTATACTATCCTGCTCAAATATTTTGTAAATCTAAAAACTTCTAAAAAAGAATGTCTATTAATTTTCAAAAATATTGTAAATATGCTGAAGAGGCGTGAACATATTTTAGAAAACCAAACACTGACAATTCAGAAAAGTCTTTACAATTAACTCTGAAAGTTCAGATACATATTAAAATTATATAAAACGTAGGTCACAAAACAAGTCTGAATAAATTTAAGAAGACTGAAATCATACCAACTATCTTCTCTAATCACAGTGAAATGAAACTAAAAGCCAATAACAGAAGAAAAACAAGAAAATCCACACATGTGGAATTTAAAAACTCACTCTTAACCAACCAATGGGGCAAAGAAATTACAAAGAAATTTTTTAAATATCCGGAGACAAAAACAACAAACCACTAATTTATGAGATGTAGCTAAAGCAGTACTAACAGGGAGGTTTATGGCAGCAAAAGCTTACATGTTTAAAAAAAAAAAAAAATCACAAATCAACAACCTAACTTTGTATCTCAAGAAATTAGAAAAAAGAGGAACAAACTAAACTAAACAATAGCAGAAGGGAGAAAAATAATACATATTAGGGCTGAGATCAACTAAATACAGAAGAAGACAAGGAAAGAAAAAAACTCAGTGAAACCTAGAGTTCGTTTTTGGTTTTTATTTTTTGTTTTTTTTGTTTTTAAAAAAAAGATCAACAAAATCAATAAACTCCTTAGCTAGACTAAGAAAAAGACTTGAAAAATGAAAATCAGAAATGAAAGAGGGGACATTACAACTGATGCCAGAAGGATTATAACAGAATATTATGAACAATATACATCAACAATTGAATAACCTAGAATAAACTGGTATATTCCTAAAAATGTACACCTAGCAAAATGAGGACATGAAAAATAAAAACTCTGAATGGCCTATAACTAGTAAACAGAGATTGGATGCAGTTATCAAAAACTTCCCAACTAAGAGAAGCCCAGGACCAGATGGCTCCGCTAGAGAATTCTACCAGACATTTAAACAAGAATTAACACCAAGCTTCCTCAGACTCATAAAGAATTCAAAAGAAGGGAATACTTCAAATTCATTCCATAAGGTCAACACTACCCTGACACCAAAACCAGAGAAAGACACAACAAGCAAGAACAAAAGTATAGACATATATCCGTGATTAATACTGATGCAAAAATCTACAACAAAATAGGAGCAAAACAAATTCAGCAGCACATTAAAAGGATTACACATCATGACCAAGTGGGCTTTACACCTGGAATGCAAGGACAGTTCAACACATGAAAACAAAATAGAAATAGAAGGAAACTTTAACATAATAAAAGCCATACACAAAAAGCCCACAGCTAACATCACACTCGACAGTGAAAGACTGAAAGCATTTCCTTTAACATTGAGAACAAAGCAAGGATGCCTACTGTCACCATTTCTATTTAACACAGCAGTGGAAGTCCTAGCCAGAGCAATTAGACAAGAAAAAGGAATAAACTGCATTCAACCTGGAAAGGAAGAAATAAAATTACCCTGGTTCTCAGATGTGACCTTACATGCATAAAACTCTTAAATTTTCAAGAAAAAAAAAATGTTAGAAGTAATTATTTTGGCAACGTTGCAGGATACAAAAAATAAAAGCACACAAACACACAAACATCAGTTGTATTTCAATAAGCAATTTGAAAAAGAAATTAACACAATTCCATGTACAATAGTATCAAAAAGAATACAATATTTAGGAATTAACCAAGGATCCAACAGACTTGTACACTGCAAGCTATAACACACTGCTGAAAGAAACCATAAAATATACAAATAAATGGAAACACACTGTATCCATAGATTGGAAGATTTATTGTTAAAATGTCATACTACCCACAGCAATCTACAGATTCAATGCAATCCCTGTCAAAGTCCCAATGGCATTTTTTGCAGAAACGGGAAAACCTATCCTTAAGTTAATATGGAATCTCAAAGGACCCCATAGAGCCAAAACAAACTTGAAAAAGAACAACAAAGTTGGAGTCCTTACAAGTCCTAATTTCAAAACATACTAAATACATACTAAAAACTTGAAAAAGAACAACAAAGTTGGAGGCCTCACAAGTCCTGATTTCAAAACATACTAAATACAAATAGTAATCAAGACAGCAGTGGTGCCAGCATAAAAAGACATATAAACCAATGAAACAAAATAGACGGCCCAGAAATAAACCCATGCATTTCTAGTCAAACGGTGTTTGACAAGGGGGCCAAGACTATACAGTGAGGCAACGACAGTCTTCAACAAATGGTACTGGGAAAATCCAATATCCACCTGAAAAAGAATGAAGTTGGACCCTTTACACCACATACAAAAACTATAAAACTACTAAAAGAAAATATAGGAGAAAGCTTCGTGACATTGGATTTAGCTATGAATTCTTGAACATGACACCAAAAGCACAGGGAACAAAAAATGGAATTACATTAAAAGTTAAAAACTTCTGTACATCAAAAGAAGTAATCAACGGAGTGAAAAGACAACCTACAGAGTGGGAGAAAATATTTGCAAATCATGTATCTGGTAAGAGGTTAATATCCAAAATATGTAACATAACGAACTTGACAACAAAAAATTGACTGAATTTTAAAATGGGCCAAGTTTTTGAATGGACAATCCTCCAAAGACGGCATATAAAACAAGCATATGAAAAGATGCTCAGCCCAGTGTGGTGGCTCATGACTGTAATCCCAGCACTCTGAGAGGCTGAGGTGGGAGGATCGCTTGAGCTCAGGAGTTTGAGACCAGCCTGGGCAACATAGCAAGACCTTGTCTCTACTAAAAATTAAAAATAAGTAAAAAATAAACAGGTGTGGTAGCACACATTTGTAGTACCAGCCACTTGAGAGGTTGCGGTGGGAGAATCACTTGAGCCTGGAAAGTCAAAGCTGGAGTGAGCCATAATTGTGCCACTGCACTCCAGCCTGGGCAATATAGCAAGACTCTGTTTCAAAAAAAATATAGTAAGAAAGAAAAGATACTCAACATCACCAGTCATCAGAAAATGCAAATCAAAACTACAAGTTATCACCTTACACCCACTAGAGGCTGTTATTTTTAAAAACCCAGGAAATAACAAGTGTTGGTGAGAATGTGGAGAAATTGGAACCCTTGGTCCACTGTTGGGGGAAATATAAAATGGTGCAGCCATTATGAAAAACATGACAGTTCCTCAAAACATTTGAAGTTAAATTACCATATGATCCAGCAATCCCACTTCTGGGCATATACACAAAGAATTCAAAGCAGAATCTCAAAAAGATATTTACATGCCCACGTTCACAACAGCATTATTCACAAGATCCAAGAGAAAGAAGAAACCCACTGTCCACCAATGTATAAACAGATCAACGGAATGTGTATACATACAATGGAATATCATGTAGCCTTAAAACAAGGAAATTGTATCACATGCTATAGCATGGATGAACCTCAATCTCCTCAAGGGCATTATAACTGAAATATGCCAATCACAAAAAGACAAATACTTTATGATTCCATCCATGAGGTACCTAACATAGTCAAAATCACAGAAAGTGGAGTGGTTATAAAAGTCTATAACTTTTATAGTGAAATTAGTGTTTAACAGATACAGAGTTTCTCTTTTCTAAAGTGAAAAATTTCTAGAGACCTGTTACACAATGTGAATACACTTAACACTACTAGACTGTACACTTAAAAACAGTTAAGATGGTAAATTTACTGTTATGTGTTTTTTACCAAAATAAAATATAAATATGAAGAGTAGAAAGTACACGTAAGAGCCAAGGTGGAGTAACAGGAATTGGGTTTGCCCTCCTCCCTGAAAACATACGAAACACTAGTTTTCAGATATTAGACATTAGGCAACCCCTAAGGGTGAACCCTGAAAGGGAAATAAGGTGAGCAAACAACTGCCTGGAGAAAGTACAGATCCCTGCCCAAGGAAAGAGTATCTATGCAGAATCTGGTGGTAATCCTTGAGTTGAAGAGACTGAGCTAAAAGCCTAAAAAAGTCAACAGCTAAAGATCACAGGGCAGAGTACTGAAGAGAAGATAACTCCACAAACAAAGAACACTCCCAAGTATCTAGCTACATAATGATTAGAGCAACTCTGTGTGGAAACTATCCAAGCAAGGAAGAGTCACCCAAAAGGATGAAAGGGAATTGCCCTAGTCTCACACAGCACAATAGTACCTGTTCTCTTAAGAGTGGAAAATCTCCTAATTCACGTAACACCAGATAAAAAGGAGTCTTGCCTCAGTGGGAAAAGAAAGTAATCCTAAGCTATATGCTGTTAAAGAGACAGACCCCCAAAAAGGAACGTGGCAGAAAAGGAAGAATTACAAAGTGGCACCAGGAGAACTTTTGGGGGTGATGAATATATTCATCATCTTGTTTGTGGCCTCCTAAGTATATATATGTGTCAAAACTTTTCTCACTGTATACTTTATATATGTGTACTTTATTACATGTCAATTATATCTCAATAAACCTGCTTTTAACACCTTCAATAACAGAACAATCCAATTACAAAATAGGCAGAAGATTTGAAGCAGCACTTCGGCAACAATATATGAATGACAAGCATATCAAAAGATGCTCAGTATCATTTGTTACTGGTGAAATGCAAATTAAAGGCACAAAGAGGTATCACTACACAGTTGTAAGAATGGCTAAAATTAGTAAGACCAACCAAACCAAGTGTTGGTGAACAAGTAGAGGAACTAAAACTTTCATATATTCATATGAGAAGATAAAAAGGTACAATCACTTTGTAAAAGTTTCACCATTTCTTAAAACATCAAACATATATCTACTACAGGATCCAGTCACGGAGTGGAAACTCCTAAGTATTTGTCCAAATAAATGAAAGTATATGTCCACACAACGATGTATTAGTCCATTCTCACACTGCTATAAAGAACTACCTGAGACTGGGTAATTTATGAAGAAAAGAGGTTTAACTGACTCTCAGTTCCACAGGCTGTATAGGAAGCATAGCTGGGAGAGGCCTCAAGAAACTTGCCATCATGGCAGAAGATGAAGGGGAAGCAAGCACATCTATCTTACCATGGTGGAGCAAGAGAATAAGAGTGAAGGGGGGAAGTGTTAAACACTTTTAAACAACCACATCTCGTGAGGACTCACTCACTACCACAAGAACAGCAAGGGGGAAATCTGTCCCCATGATCCAATCACCTATCTCCAGGTCCCTTCTCCAACACTGGGAATTACAATTCAACATGAGATTTGGTAGGGACACAGAGTCAAACCATATCAAACGATTTGTATACAAATGTCTATACCATCCTTATTTGTAATATTCAAACACTGGGTGAAAAATGTCCATCAACATGTGAATCCTTACATTATATACCTGCAACAGAATATGTAGGACTGAACTAATGATACATGCAACATGAATGAACCTCAAAAAAAATACGTTGAGTAAAAAACAAACAAACAAAAAAAAACTCCAAACAAAAAG